TATATATATATATATATATCGTTTTTAGTATAAACTAATATTACCACGAAATATTACAGGTACGTGACACATTGAGAAAAAATATGCCGGTACGCCATATCAGATAGTTTGAGAAGCAGTGATCTAAATTATCATGGAAAGAAGTGCATAAAAATGCATTCGTTTGCTAAATTTGAACTCCTCACTCAGATTTTATTTTCAAAGTTCTAAACTCCACTAATTCAAATTCACTAATCTTTAGAAATATATTTAAAAAATATTCCTACTGCAATAAGAGGAGGTCAAAAATCCTGCCTTATTAATTTTGCTGTGGGCAACTGTCAGTTTGGCAGATAAAGCATATTGAATGCTTTTACGCAAATTCATGACGCTTAATCAAAAAGAGATGAAGTAAATTTGATGTCAGTTCAATTGAGCGATAGCTTTTGATCTTTGATTGCATTGAAGTCTACATGTACGTATGAAGATATTTCTATCATTCCCTCTCACGGATTTTACAAATATATTAAAGCACACAAAGTATATAAGACGGGTATTTACTCTAGTCAACCATGACGATAGTTACTTGACTAGAATAACAGGTTGCACTGATTCTTACTACTAATCAGACAGATCTATACTGATTTTACATGTATCTAAATGCACTCTGAATAGACGAACATTTTTCCTGTGAAAAGAGGTTGTAGATAGTGGATTTGTATTTTGAGGAATATCAATGGTAGTTAAAAGAAACTAAATATATACATTTTGATGAAATCTCACTAAACACTTGTGATTCCAAGATAGTCTACCTTACTTTTATTATTGTAGTACTGGGTTTCCACACTAGGCGACAACCCACCTTGAGAACTGGGGTAGCGAGAAAAAAGGTTTATTAAAAAAGGGGTTGAAAAGATGGGTTTAGAACTAAGTAATACTATTTCCTTGTTATATTTTTACAAAATCCATACGCCGATCGAAACCCAGTCCGTACAATGGAGTAACCCTGCCTAAAAAGTGGGCGTATGTTTACTGCACATATCTCGACTGTTGTTACAAGCGATATTTACCCGACCTCCCATGAAGCAGGATGTGGCACAAGGCCAATTTTTATGTGTGATGATACGAGCCCGTAGGCTCGGGCAAAAATTCCCCGTAGATCCCTCATACACGTGGTCGAGTTTGTCTACCTCTAGAGACGTGACAGCCTCGACTGGACTCCTCTCTGCCCGAAAGCAGAGTTTGACATCTTGATGTTTGCTGGAAAAAAAAAACATGCGACACCCTTGACTTTGCAAATCTATTCTTTGTTTTAAGGGCTGAGTTGGTTGCTTCAGTTGTTATTTATACGCAAGCTTGCCTTCCGCTGGTTATTTGGCCGAATGGCTAGCATGTTAGCTTTCCAATGATGACACCCGGTCAGTTTGTCAGGATTTTTTTTACGTTAAGGACGCGTTCACAACGTGCGACACCTTTGAAAAGTACCTAAAAACCATACCACAACATGAGCTTTTTATATGAACTTGGGTAGACGAAATTATTCGATGGTTGTACTAGCACGTTATCTAGGCCGAGGGTTAGAACGTACAAACGTTGTTTCAAACTCTTGATCACACCAGATGATGTGCTCTCTCCAGGTTAGCTCTGTGGCTGTTGAAAAACACAGATGTGCCTGGGCCAGCACCTGAAAGAGGGATTGACCAGTACCTCTAGCAGACAAGTATACTTGGATACAAGCAGCAAGCAATTATCTTTTTTGTGATAGCTGATAATTACTTAAATTTGAGGTGGCACGAAATGATCTTTTAACTTTTCCTTAGTGTAATTCTTGTCATGACTTCTGTAACTTCCTTAGTATTCTTGTCATTTTTGTAATACTGTTGTCTGAACAGTTTTAATTTATCCTTGTATTTCGGTATTTTGTCGTTTCATAAGCATTCCAATACAGATAACTACGATTGTCAATGTCACATCTCATAATCACGTTTTTTTTTAATCACATATATTCAACATATACATCGAATCGGTCCTAAGAGAACCAGAAGTACGCAGGACTTAATACAAGTGAGATACAATCTTAACAACATAAGATATGCCGATGACAACCTGTTAATGGCAGACCGAGAAAGAAAACTGCAAGAACTGCTAGACAATTTAGCAAAGGAAAGTGAGAAGAGAGAATATATGTTAATAAGCAAGAGGGACAAATAAAGATGCGAGTTACGAATTGGAAAAACCAGAAACAAGAAAGTATATAAACTGTAAGTATCTGGGGAGTGTTATTAAAAATTAATGCAAAATACGACAGAACGCAAAAGATTCCTTTGAATAGCAAAGAATACATTGTAAAAGCTAAACGAAATAACAAGAAACTGGAAGATTCGATTGTAAACAAATAAGAGGGTTAGTCTACTATGTAATATCAACCATCCTTTAAGGCAATGAATGCTGGACAATAAACATATAAAGAGGAGACTTGTGGCAATAGATCTGATTCGACAGAAGGATACTGAGTTTCTATGAAAATTAAAACAAAAAGACGCTTATAATTTAAAAAAAAAAGACGGTGGAAATATCTGGGTTAAATAATGACGAAAGACTGTAAAATTTGACACAGAGAAAACTGAATGCAAAAACGGCAGAAATGAATATCAACTAAGCTACTTGTATAAATGGACAGTAGAACAGGGATTTGGAGGTATATTATCCTTTGTTGCTTCGGGCAACAAAAATTAGGAATTAGTGGAGTGTCGTGATATGAAACATAAAAAAGATCTTTATTCGGTCTTTCTGGAACTGGTATATCATATTTTGACAAATGTTCTTACCTTTGCTTATTTTTAGAAGATCCGGTCCCGTAGATATGTATGTATATTTCCTTTTTTCTATTTAAGTGTCAAGTCCATTTAGAATGTTGACGATACACGGCTTTTCTTTTAATATCTGAAAAAACACGTAGTACACTGATTATTTTTCAAAACAATGGTTGTCTAGTTTCCCGTTACCCAATCTATGGCTTCGAATTCAGAGGGTTGCTCCTAAACCAGTTGCCAAGTCTGTCCTGTTATTTAACCGATAGCTGGGGAAGAAGAAACTGAGTAATAGCGTAACGTGAAAAGAGACTGTCTCAGCTGAAATTTAAACTTTTCTTGTCGATAAGATTTTTTTTTTACTGTTTATCAACATTTTACCTGTGATTACATCAGAAAATTCATATGATTCACAATGCTAGTTTTTTCTTCCCCAGAATCAATTCTGCTTGTTTCTTATACTATTATTCAGCAGGGTCAAATTTAGATTTGTTATATATTCTATAAACTAGAAATCCAAGATAGCATGCATTATTTCAATTGGGACGAAAATCTTAAGATGCTACTTTGTACATCACTAGCTTTTATGTCATCCGTTCGCAAGTACTGTGATTAACACAGCTGTAGGTTTTATTATCATGCAAACGTCTCATAAGAAACGCTGAGCTAACAAAGGCTTCTTTGGAATTAAAAAAGAAGACATTTCTGGCAATAAACTCGACGTTGTCTAATAAAACAAAATGAAAATTGGAAGCGGAAGTGAGTACTGAAAACGCCATCGTGGATTAAGCTGCCATTGAAGTGATGGAAGTATGTGGCAGACATATGGAATTCGTAGTCATCGTCATTAGATTATCAATGGCTGTTAACTCAATTTGCGGAAGATTCTTTGATGTGAGAACGCACAAAAAGACACAAAAACTTAGAACATTGGACCTCCTACAGCTGTAGATACTTTACTACACCTATTATGGCAGACACGTGTTAGTGGAAACGTAAAAGCTTAAATAACGAGCTGACGCAAGTTGTGCCTGGAAATATAAGAAAGAAACGAGTGGTAGGTGATATGAAGTTAGGCTGTAGTTTAGCTTACAGTAGAAAAAAGATTATTAGTCGACTCAAATTGAAAACAATTTCCTTGTGGGAAAGCGAATAGTTTGGAGAGAAAAAAAAAGATAGTTTTTGTTTCCAGTAAGGTTCACCCTTTACAAGGCCCTATGGCCACTCGATGTAGAGGATTAAGTTAGGAGACCATTTGAGTGGAAGATAACGCTTAACCCTAGCTTGAACAAGTTAAGATTGTAGTGACACAGGGAACCGTCGTTAATCGCGGTATTTAACTAAAGTCCGTATTTAACTCTTCTTGTATACTCTGTCTTTACCAGAGACAAATCAGACCGGAAATGAAGTATTGCTTGGCATGGAGCTGTACATTCCTTACTTGCATGTCTTGAGAGAGTTCAAAAGCTTCAATACTGCCTTGTAGGTGATGAATTATTTTCCACCCTACAAATCATTTCGCATAGATAAAATCTTCTGAGCCTTTCTCTATTCCTATGGGATGTCTATTAACGTGCTACATTCTTTAGTCCCACCATCCCTGACCTTTATAATTTGTACCAGCCATGTCACGAACATAGAGTGAATTATCCACATTCTATTCGTACTTCATTGGTAAGAAGTCAGCTCCACTAGGACAAATGCTGCGTTGTGGGACAGACTCCTGACAGGATGCTTTCTCTATCACTATAATCTTCACCTCCTCAAATATAGGATTAATTGTTATCTTTCCTACTGTGATTTTCACTTCTTGGCTGTTCACAACTGGACATCGCAAAGTGGGTCGCAAGGCGTAGCGTTTGAGTCGTACGTATTGTTTTCTACACTAAACTACAATATTCTTTATTACAGTATTATTAATCCATGTCTCTCGTGTGATTAAACCTGTTCTTCTCTCAACCTTTCTGTTCCAGTATTTCTTTAGAGTATTAGTAACCAGAACTACGAACGTTGTACGAACTTTATAACACTAAGTACTTTTGCTCTGCTCTCGTGGAAAAGATTAATTTCAGATTTGTTGATTGAGAATGATCCTTTAATCAATGTGAGGGCGAGAGAGATAGAGAAAATGGTGGAGAGAAGGGCAGGAAAGAAAAAGATAGTCGAGAAGAAAAGAAATGCAGAGAGCCAGGGAAGAAGGAGAGGGAGAGGTTACATACAAAGAAAAGAGAAAGTGAGAGAGCAGGAAAGAAAAGGAACCATCAAACAGAGAGAGAAAAAACATAGAAAGAAAGTAAAGTAGAGAGGGTGACTAAATAGAAAGTGTAAAAGGAGAGAAAGAGAGATAGAGCAGTAAGGAGAAATGAAGAGAAAGAGAGAATAGAAGAGCGAGGTGAAGAGAAAGAGAGATGAAAATATACATGGAGAGAGAGGGAAGTGAGGCAAATAGAGAGGACAGAGATGTTGAAAAACACGGAGAAAGGGTAGACGGAAATTAAAAGAAGAGAAAGGGATATGAGAGAGGGAGAAGTAAAAAGAGATAGATTCAAAATGAGAAGGATATAAAGAGAGACAATAAAGGAGGTAGGAAACAACAGTTACGGAAAGGGGAAGAGAAATACGAAGTTGGGAGTGAGAGAAAGAATGAGGGAGAGAGAGAAAGTGGGAGAAAGAACGAAAGTAAACAGGAGAAAGTGGGAGAGAGAAGAAAGGAAAGATGGAAAAAGATATAATTGAGAGAGGAAGCGACTGATAGAGAGATATGGTTGACAGGGTGGTAGGGAAAGAGAAAAAAGTGGGTATGACACAGAGAGAAAGAAAGATTGCGAGAGAGTGAGAGAGAAAATGACAGAAAACTGTTAAAATAAAATTTGGAGATTTAGATGTTTCTGATGAAACTGTCAATGATTTTTCTGCCAGCCACTTTTGAAGAATAAATGCCATTTAGGGACATGATTCGATATTATGCAGCCGCCATGTTTCCGATTTTTTGGTTGCTTTTATACTCCCAGAGCCATTGATTTTTTTTCTTTCAACCTTTCATCTAAACGCTTTAACAACTCAAGAGGCGTGTTTACAAGCAACACCAAAACTATTTTAACAAATTCAAACTGGAAAATTCCCAAGTAATCGAAAAACAAGAAAGTTCATAAATAGTAACATCGATTCAGTCAGTTTTCTTCGGCTTCGTTATTCCGGAAGCTGTCAACTCTGAGAATTGAACATTAAATTACATCAGTGCACCCACGTTTTAGTAGCACAAATACTGTCTTTATGAAAGTTGTTCTACCACATGACTGCATTTCAAACCGACGCCAAAGGTTTATGTTCGATCTCATCTAGAATTTCTTTGGAAAGCAGATTATCTAAGCATTTAGAGGGGCTCGGACATTGTGATAGATTAGAGTAATGCAATCTTTATCACTCATTTGCCCCCCATCTTATCTTTCATAGTAATTTAATACAATTTTAATAACATGTGTCTTCAGGGCGTTGAAAATTATGACTTTCCACAGATTTGGTTTCCTTATCATCTACGAATTGTCATGACTTCTTAGGAAAGAGACTGAAGGACTTTCTTGTTGACTTCTCCACCATTTGGATATTAGAGATTTCCTTTTCTTACCAAGAAAAAGGCTAAAAAAGAGATCAATCTTCCAATCTATTTAACCGATAATTTTTAAAAAGAAATGATGGATTCATTCCTTTTCCAAGGATTAGATGGACGCAAAAATCCCAAGCCCCATCTTTTGTCCGTGTTAAGGAAATCTTAAAAGTTTAGTCGGAGAGATGCCATCTCTATATTGTTTGTACATACATACTGCTTAAAAATTGTTAAAAACATTAAATTCCTTTTCGAAAAAAATGCCTGAATAGGAAATGGTAATATGATTTTGTCTGTAATTCATTTTTAATCTGAGAAAATGATCATGGGAATTAAGACCATAGAATCAATGGAACATTTGGTATAAATTCACTAGGTATAAACTTGTGAGCGAAAGTTTGTTGAGGAATTAAAATATACAGTTCAAGAACAAAGAAACGTTCTGAAACGTCTGAGAATTTGAAAACTTGCTATATTTCTGAGATGAGGTATTTTGTACATTATTTACATTATTGAGTACACATGGCACAGTGGACAAAGGCGTTCGTTAGATCGAGTGACAGGACCCAATGAGTGTGAGTTCAATACACGGTTAAGGCAGAGGAGAACTTTCAGAGGGAAATTAACAGGAGATACCTGACATCCATTAAACATTTGCACATAGAACTAGAACAGTCTACCCCAGTGAGCGAAATAAAGGGTTAAGTTCGACATTCCAACCACCTGAAGAAGGCCGGAGCGTACAACGGCCGTAACATTGTAATAAATATGACGACAAAGATGAGGACGACAGTCCGAGTAATGTAAATAATGCTATATATTAATTTTACGCACAAGAGCCAATCACGATAGAATTAATTCATTGTTGAAATAATTATGAAGAATAAAGTAAGATGAATGGTAGTAGAGGTGATAGGAAGCGAAGATTATTAGGTTACATAGTGTTTGAACTTAAGCGGTTAAGAATGCAGTGTTCACAGTAGAATCCGTGGGTGTATTTATTCCACAAGGTTTGGGGAAATGCTGTTTTTCTGGAACTTTCTCCTTACATTTCGAATCCGGACAAAATAAAGGTTATTTGCGTCCGTGGATGTAGTATGGGGTGACCCAAGCTCTGAACTGAAAATAAAGAATGGTTTTCACTTGAACATTTGCAATCAAATAGCAACAGCGCCGGCGCGACTTACCCCTGAAACTCCTGACTTGGGACCCCCGGATTTTTTGAGGGCCCCACAGTGGCCTTTGCCATTTTTTAAATTATTTTTAGACTGACGTTACATTGTCAGTCATCAACTAATAATATACATCGTGTATCTGCATGTCCCGTGTGGTGCGTACTATACAGGTACCACCCGATGAGTTGCAACAGCATGTTTTTGCTTTTAGTAGTTTTTACTTTTTTTTCTACCTACGTTATATTGTCAATCATTAGCTATAATAATCGACTGGGCCAGTGCTTACTACCTTGAACCTCTCAACTGCGGGGGGAGGCACGTACTTTCTGGGGGAGGGGGTAGAAGTGTTAATTTCAGTAGCGCTTTTTTTTTAATTGTAATTTTGTTTCTGAATAGATTTTTTAAATTAATTAAGAGGGTAAATCTCAGTAAAATCATTTTTTATTCCGAGATCATCCACTACTAAGGAGGCTATCTGATTTTTGTTTTTACTAATAGTAATCCTAAACAGAAGTCTACAGCTAGTAATTTAAATAAAATTTCTAATCTCTTTGTTTACATTTTTTAGAGAGATAAAACTAAGAAAGTGATCGCTTTAAAAGTAAAAATGTTTAACTGTATCAACAGATAAAACATTTTTCCCGAAAACTGAAATACTTTTTTTAAAACAAGTTCCCGTTTGTGTTGTGTTGGAATATTTGTAAAACCTTTTTTTCAGCGGAGATACGTCGGCGATTAATCTTTATGGAAATGCAAAAAAATGTGATTTAAAGATTTTTTTGAGTAAAATTTAGTCATGAAAATATTGGTGGCTATTGCAAAAATAACAACATTTTCTCAGATTTGTTTTTTAAAATAAAAATATTCATTATAAAAGAATATAAATAATATGTACTGTAATTTTCATTTAAATTGGATAACTCCGATTTTTGGTAATTTAAAAAAGCGCTATTCTTTCCTTTCAATTTGCCTTCGATTGTTGTGACCCACAGGTTGGAAACATTAAAATCGACATTTAGTAGAGAGGTGAGTCCCCGTATCAAAGTTTTGTGAGGACGATACCATAGCGCTGGCCCGGAATAGCAATATATTAGGGATAGGCTTGCGACGTTGCTCTACTTAGGAAGAGTGTAGAATTGTGAATAAGCCTTCTTTCAAAAGATCGTGTAAATGATTTTGAACTATAGAATGGAAAGTGAAAATTGAGCAGCCCCAGGACAGATATGTTCACAATACTCTATTTTCCGTTTACTTTGACTTTTGTAAAGACAAATAATTGCAGAAGAATTCAGTTACTTCCGGGCGCGATAAAATGAGACAATTATTTTCCGAGCATCTTTACCAGAGGATGATATATTAGTTCTACTTGAGGCCTGGAAAGTACTCAAGATATAATGACAGTTAAAAAAATATGAGAACCCGTTGAGAGTGCAACGGTTCATTATGACTGGAAAAAAAAACTCTTGAATCAGAGGACGTTTAAAAAGAACAATTGGACTCAGTTGAAGTACATATGCTTCTATAGAAAAAGATAACTTTTTCACAAGAAAATCGACCGATTATTTTGTTGTATGACAAAACCCTTCTTTGTTTGATAAATTCAATGGAGCAAACAATCAGAAAATTCGAATGGGAAACTCTCGTAGATGTGACCTATACTTTAAATCTGTCACCTTCAAGCTATTATCCGTTTCATTCCTTGCAACTCGCTTTAATTCAGCAATGGTTCCACTAGTTTCGAAAAAAATCATGGAGCAATTAAATGAATAAAATCCAGAATTTTTGTTTTATAATGGTGTACACTATTTAGCTGAAAGTTAACGTTAACTCATGGAGAGAGAAAAACTCTGAATGATGTTATGAACTTAAAAGAACAAATATTTTATCAAATATTTAAACGTTTGCTGCGACCGAATAACAAGGAAAGCAACTCTTTTCATAGTCAACAACAAATGGGTAACAAACCCAAAATGATCAGGGTGATTCGCCATAGAGTTTTTGGTCGAAATAGTTATGATTTTATACGCATATTTACAGATTTTCACGTCTAAAACTGTTTTTGTTTATTATAAACGAGAGCCAATCAACTTTAATGTCTCGAAGGCCAATTGTTATGTAGTCGGTGGAGATGACGGAAGTCATAAGCCCACGACGTTAGGGCGAACAGAGGAAAGCACATGGTCTCATCAGAAACATAAAAGACGCCACAGACCTGCCCTTTTTCCGTTAGGAAATATTACACGTAAGAACCTATCTGCTTTCGCACCTTTCACCTTTCACACTGCTTGTATACATATGTTATAATTTCTCTTTGTGAGAAAATCTTACAGTAAGTATGTATATATCTATATAAAAAGTCTCTGAAAACATGCAAGTTGGCCATTCATTTCTTTCAGCATAGTTCCGTTCGTTACTATATTACGGCTATAATTATGCCTATAATGGGGAACTGTAATCTGGGAATATTCTTTCATGCACAGCATCTCCATTACCTGTGTTAAATCCAATAATGGAATCCCAGATTTACAGGAATCGGTTGTATAAAGGCAAGTAATCTTTTGGAACCTATTATGCTTATTTTCTTTTCAGTCTGTGAATGAAAACATATTACTTTATAGTATAAAAAAGAATTAAACCAATTTGATAATTTAATAGAAATCATTTATTTATTAAGATATTTTTAGACTGAAATTCAGTTCTCATAATAATTCTCTTCGGGAGTATGATGCTTTTTGACTCTAGTGTCATCAACTGTGTTATGGTTTCTTAGCTACATTCGAACTGAATCGCTGCAGTCCCAAAGATCCAATGGAAGACCTATAAAATTTACGACTAAAAGGTTTGCCACATTTTTAACTTCAAGACAATTTCTTTTGCCAGAATAATTTATGCTGATCACAGAAAACCCTCTTTCAACCTCCGCAGAACTTACAGCAATGGTATTAATTATATTTTTAGCTCTTATATATCGACTATTAATATATGTTTATTTTTGGATAATCCAAAAAACGATTAACTAAGCTTTTATCCTTTTAAGATCGGTACGTGCAAAGTATGCTATCACAGATTACACCCA